TTTTTTACACAATTTACTTGATTTATTACAATGCCGTAAATGACATTTTTAAAATACCCCTATTTAGTTGATAAAGCAAAAGCCACATCAATTTTAGGTGGTGGCACTGCAAAAGTCCTTAATCGAAACCATAAAATAAGTTCAAGTATCAAAGTGATTAAGAGAAAAAGTTAAGAATTAAATTGACAGTATTGAAAAAGTTTAGGGACAAAATTAACCTTTTATTGAATATAAATATACATGATCAAAAAAGAAATATATATATATATATATACACACACATTTATATATGATAGGATAAAATGATAAAATTGTTTCAAATTTGTGCACAATTAACTTATTGTTCATAATAATTTTTAGACAAATATCAAATTGTAGAAAATCCTAGTGACAACTAAAAGTCAAAGGCGTGGGAAAACACATCAGCAAAACTTTTCTCCAAAATAAAGTCAAGACTTCATTAATTTAATTGTTCCCGGAAAAACTTTTCCAATCCTGCCAAAATACTCTTAACCCTCAGCTCCGCAATGAAATTCCCGCGATCCTCTTTCTTAATCTTCCTTTCCATCTCATTATCAATCGTAGCTACATCTTGGAGCTCTTCAATTATCAATCCCTCGAAGGTCAAACAAATTTCATGGAAACCCAGGTATTGTTATTAACGTTGACCACTAAATGGTGTAACTTGAATTACTTTAACGACATTATTCAGTAGTTTAAATTTGATCACTTCTTTATTTGTTTTGTGGGGCTTTTCCAGGGCTTTTGTGTATAAGGGATTTCTTACGGATGAAGAATGCAATCATTTGATTTCTCTGGTATGTTCAATTGCTTATTTTTTCCCCCAATTTTGTCAATTTTTTTGGAATATTGAAGTTTGGTTTCTTTATTTGGCGTCATTGTTGATGGAGTAGGCGAAATCGGAGCTGAAGAGATCGGCGGTGGCGGATAATTTATCTGGCGAAAGTAAGCTCAGCGAGGTTCGGACTAGCTCCGGCATGTTTATTCCTAAGGGAAAGGTTCGACTTTTATCCCCTATTCGTTTAGTGGTTTTTGAATTTACCATTATATCCTGATCAAAGTGTCAGAAATGTATTCCAAAATTATTTTTTGCTGGATGAAGTTAGATCTATTATGAGGAGTTTTTTCACCCACCAAAAAGAAAGGAAAAGAAAAAAATTGGTGGGAGTAATTTGAGTTTGTTTTTGGAATTTTTATTGAGGATTTGATCATTGGAACTTTGAGTTTTAAATTGGAGAATTAAGAGAGGATAATTGCGCGTGAAATGCAGTTCAATTATCTTGTTTATGCAATATTTATTCGAGAAGCAACATTTGCACAAACTGCATCACTTGTTATATTAGTAACTGAAGAATTAGAGACTCAGTTAAGGTGGTATGATAGAAGACGTGCTAATCCATTGATCTGCAATCATGACATGTGGGAACTCCACTACAAATTTATCTGTGTTAAACATGGCAAATATAATTTCAATAATCAAGAAGAAGGTATACGAGCAGGAATGGAAGAATGGCCCAAAATCTGCAAAGTTACTATTTTAACAGAAAATCACTAAAAACAAACCACATGATAGTGACTTGTTTGAATTCATAACTGATCAATCAAGGATTTGCCTGTTGAAATAGATAATAGCTTATGGATATCACTCTGGTTTGTAGTCTGAAACTCGAATATCTGAAGTTTTTGCCCTCCAGCATATCCTTTCACGACTTCATCATAGTTTTGACAGCGTTCGCATTATTTGGATCTGCTGGTTTTGAAATTTATAATTACCTTACTGTGTTTTGTCTATATTTTATCTGCAACATGTGTTACCAAATTTTTCGTGGTTTACGGCACTTTAGTAAATGCATGATGAGGATCTAAGAAGCTCTATCCATAATGGCTTATCCTGGACCTTTTTTTTGTGGATTTTATTTTAATTTTCCCCCTTGGGAGGCAACTGGTAAGATCAACTGAGGCAATAGCTATTTATATCATTCCTTTTCCATGCTTCCAAACTGGACTAACTAGCATGTACTGTAAAACATGATATCTGTTACTTCTGCAGTCCCAATTATACTAGTTGACTGATTATTTTATTGCTAACTCCATGCTTCTTTTTCTGACATTCTTTCTCATTACCTCTCGTACCAATAGGATCCCATTGTTGCCGGTATAGAGGAGAAAATTGCGACATGGACCTTTTTACCTAAAGGTGTGCTTCATGTTAAACCGAGCTCCAGTAGTGGAAATTCCTCTCTCACATCAATATTTTGCGGCCTGAAATATTGGGTTCAGCTCACTACAAAGATGCAGCTGCACTCCACAAAAATCTTTTTCCCCTTTTTAAATGACTGAGATGCTGGCATGTACACCATTTATGTGCAATACTTACTTTGATATCACGTCGTGTGGCAGCTTACCTTTTTAAAAGATTTCTCTGGGTTATTGTTAAGATTTGTGTCTCAACAGAAATTCCCCTTAGCTATCCGAGCCTCAAATACTGAAACCCCGTATGGCTCCACTTAAATAACACATCTTCCCTGTGGAAATGAGGACAAATGGTTTGGTTTGCAAATCATGGGCAGAAAGATTTTTTTTTTTTTGGCAAAATCCTAAGAATTTGGTCCAGCTAGAGTCCTTGCTTTCTCACTCTCATTCATCTTCAACCTTCTTATCTGACTAGCGTCTTGTGAAAATTTCCTCTAGACCACCAAAGTGTGCTTTAACTATGGGTGCATGGATGATGGGAGGGTTTGATTGCTAGTTAACTGAATTGGGGCTCATATTACTTCCTTTCTGCAGAGAATGGTGAAGACATACAAGTACTTCATTATGAGTATGGGCAGAAATATGATCCGCACTATGATTACTTTGCCGACAAGGTGAATATTGCTCGTGGAGGACACCGTATAGCCACAGTACTGATGTATCTCTCCAATGTTGAAAAAGGGGGCGAAACAGTTTTTCCTAATGCTGAGGTTAGTTGACATGATATGACTTTTTATTCCATTTGCTCTAACACTAATATCATTTCTTATGTGTTGCCAAAATCAATTACTCTTTGCCATTTCCCTTTATCCATTTTTTTTTGGTGAGTTTCCTTATGTACAAACCTTTTGGTTAATGTGCCAGCTGTTTTGTGCAGTATAAATCAGTACTGGCTTTGAACTTTTAGTCCTATAAGTTTTGGTGATAATTAGTTGTAGGATTTAGTTTCCAGAAATTAATTATGGTTAGTTGTGCTTTGGGTCTGTATGATATTTAGTTTTTAGAAATTAATTACGGAAAAGTTGTGCTTTTGATTTGTAAAGGCTAGATGTGCCAAAGGCTTAATTTCACAATACCAGAGAAAAGTTTTTTCTTAGTATCAGTACTGAAAGGCCCTAGCTAGGGCTTGCGAAACTATAATGAATGAGAGGCAGGACATGTGTTTTATGCGAAATTGTGAAACCTCTGCTTTATGGGTACATGTACTGTTTTGTTTCTCATCATCTAACGTGATATTCATTTGTTAATATTTGTAGAAATTTTTTCCTGCATCTTATTAAGTTCTCATGGTCCTGTGGGGATTCTGTTCTCTAAATAAAAATTTCCAAAAAAAAAAAAAAAAAACTCTGCAGGATTTATCCCGTCGGCGATCTATGACTAGTGATGAGGATCTGTCAGACTGTGGGAAGAAAGGTATCGCAGGTGAGGCCTTAGAGTTAGTCATGCTTTGGTAATATATAACTGATATTGTGGATTCAGCATTGATTCTTGATTGACCCTTTGATTTTTCTTTCCCGCAAAAATTGGAACTTTCTAGTGAAACCTCACAAAGGAGATGCACTTTTATTCTTCAGTCTGCACCCAAGTGCCATTCCAGACCCTATCAGTCTTCATGGGGGTTGCCCGGTGATTGAAGGTGAGAAATGGTCGGCAACAAAGTGGATTCACGTAGACAACTTCGACAAGATTTTGGGATCCACTGATAACTGCACAGATACAAATGAAAATTGTGAGAGATGGGCAGCCCTAGGCGAATGCAAGAAAAATCCGGAGTATATGGTGGGATCACCAGAAATTCCAGGGTCGTGTAGGAAGAGCTGCAAAGTGTGTTAGGAGTTATATATGATGCTTTCCACTGACAGGCATTTTTTTGTCTGAGAAATCACTGTACTTGTTCATTATTTAAATGGTATTCCTGTTTATTGAGGGTTTTAGGCGTGGCTGCTACTCTGAATTTTCTCAAGAGATCAGAGCACACGTATATGCATTGTATTTACTGTACTCAAGCTTAATAATTTTTTCTTCCCTTTTAGTTTCCTTCTCTTCACCCAATTTAGCTTAATCATCGATAACTTGATACCATATTCAGTTGTATGAATTTTTTGACTTCATATTCAAGGTGAATTCTATAAATATGAATTCCAAATTTTCCCCTATGGAAAAATCAATTCTTAATTAAGTTAGGACTTCAGTCTGCACCCAAGTGCCATTCCAGACCCTATCAGTCTTCATGGGGGTTGCCGGGTGATTGAAGGTGAGAAATGGTCGGCAACAAAGTGGATTCATGTAGACGACTTCGACAAGATTTTGGGATCCACTGATAATTGCGCAGATACAGATGAAAATTGTGAGAGATGGGCAGCCCTAGGGGAATGCAAGAAAAATCCGGAATATATGGTGGGATCACTGGAAATTCCAGGGACGTGTAGGAAGAGCTGTTAGGAGTATTATGTAGTATGATGCTTTCCCCTGACAGGCTTTCTGGTCTGAGAGAAGTAGAGTTGCCGGATACGGGGCAGGGACGGTCCTCAGAAGGACCGTCCCTGAGCGGTCCTCTCACAAAAAAAAATGAGAGGACTGCAATAGGCCACGTATAATGGGAGCAACAGCAAAGGAAAACGACGTTGTTTTAGTGAGTGAATAGGAAAAAAAATAAAAAAACATCTGAGGGGCTAACGGGCTCCGTTAAAATACCTCAGCTGTTCCGTTCCAAAAATTCCCGCTCAAATTAATGAGGCACGACTCTTCATCTGAAATGTTCAAATGAAATAGAATTTTGGTCTCCCTCCAAAAACATATCTTGTGAACATTCATTCACAATTCCAGAGTATCAGCAAAATAATATCCCTACCCCAAATTGGGAAGTTTCAGATGAGAGGTTTTTGGAGAAAGTGTATAGTGTTGCAGAAGTAACTGTTGCGGGACAAAAATTTTCATGAAGGCTGCAACAAGACGGAAGTTGGTGAGATCTAAAGCAGAGATAGACTCAATCGAATTGGACTAAACCCCAAAGGTAAGAATATTGCAAACTCATTGCACTATTTGGCTTGTTTTACGACAGAAGGGGGATGAATTTACTTGCATGATTTTGTTTGTACAACTCGTTTTAAGACAATGTGACATGAATAATGAAATTGAAATTCTGGCGAAAACTCCTAAACAAGGAAATCATATGGGTAGCATAAATTAGATACATTGAGAGCCAACTTAAAGAATGTATGCACAGGGAACTTATGCATGCCAAGTGTTTGTAAATTTGACTCAATTGATGAATTAAAGTTCTCACCTTTTAAAATCTGGTTGCATAGTATACATATATCTTGGCTAAAAGAGGTTGAGTGTGGTGGCTTGCGTAGCAAAAACTATCAGGGTAGTTGATAAGTACATTTGTACACGTTGTAACACTAGAATAACATTTGTAATACTAGAATAACACGTTGTAACATTTGTACACGTTGTAACACTAGAATAACACTAGAGTAACACTAGAAAACTATCACGGTGTAATATCATTTGTACACGTTGTAACACTAGAATAACAGCGAGTAATTATACTACCTTTAACAGCAGTAACCGTCCATGCCCCTTCTCCACTAATTACATAGTCCATGATACTATATTGGATCAGTCTAGTAACATGATACGTAAGCCTTATATTGCAATCCAATTCTGAACAAAAACACCATCTACAACTAGTTGTTTAGATGGTGAGAATTGCAATGCACAAAACTATACACAAGTAGTTCTAAGATTAGTCAAACAGCACCATAAGTGGCAGGAAATATAAATCAGATGCACATTGCACCACTTATCAAAAAATTGTCCACAAAAGCTAACATTGCTTCAGTATTGCTAGGAGCTAAGAAGACTAGTACCTAAACTACTTCAGATACCACAAGCAAGGATTGCAGGGAACCTTTAGCACTCTCAAAACATCATAGAGAAACTGCTGGTTATAGTGTTAGAGGCCACTATTGCAGCAGTATTAATGCTAACAGAAGTTTCGGCTTGAGATCCACCATTTAGAGTAGCTTGAGCATTTGGTACAAAGGGAATTATACCTTGCTTGTTTACAGCAGCATTGGTTTTCATTGAAGACCTTCCTCTCTGCATCAGAAAAGAACAAATTTAAACTTTTTTGCTGCAAAACTTTAAATTACTCCAGTAGTGCACTAGTTCTGAATTTTGCAGCAGCAATGTATGACATTATAATGCTTACCCTCTTACACAATCGAATTGGACAAGGTGATCGACGAGATACAAGGTGAGTATCTTACATTAAATCGAATTGGACAAGGTGAGTATCTTACACAATCGAATTGGACAAGGTGAGTATCTTACACAAGGTGATCTACGAGATACAATCAGTTTACAAAAATGTACATCATGTTAGGTGTTAGTTACTTGACTATGTATATATATAAAAGAGAGATTAGATATAATGCAGAAAAAAGTAATTACATGAGTTGGAATGTATTATACAAACTTTGGTATAGTTGATATTAAAATTTCTCTATTGAGGGTACACGTTGTTAGTGGATATGGAGTAGTGCTATATGTTATGTACGCTTACATGGTCATAAATTTACAGAAGTTAGTCCATCGTTTAAATTTGTAATTGGTTGTTAGCCCTTACACACTGTCACATGCATACACATAATGTAAGAATGAATTTAATATATAGTTGTTAATTGGTTACATAGAGTTCATATAGGCATACAAATTGGGGTTTGATTAGCTATACTCTGTATATAATTGTTAACACATTATATCGTATTCACCTTATTTTGCAGCATGTCATGGGCAAAGATAGCGTCTTTTGACAAATTAATGGATATCAATCAATACTGGTGAAGCAAAGACATTAGGTATGTTTAGCCTATTTTACGATATGTTTAAGGAAATAAAGATTTTTATTTCACAAATTGGTGAAAATTAGTTACATTTGGGGTGTGTTTGTTTGAATGTAAAATGTTTTCCTGAAAATGTTTTCCAAATTTTCCTGTGTTTGGTAATCATTTTATCTTGGAAAAAGATTTATGCGGGGAATATATTTTACTTCACTTGGTGGAAAATAACTTCATCTTTTGACTTACTGAAGTTATTTTCCTTCATTAAAACGAGCGGCTCTTGCACTTCACAATAGAGCTCCCTACCCACATTCTAACAAAAACAAACAAAGACTTTGCGGCTAAAGATACAGAGAGTGGGCAATGAAGATTGGAGAGACTCAGAAATCACCAACAATATGATCATTTCTGATGGCAGCCATCTCCAACTCTGGCAAGGTGCCTTGGGTGAGATTCTTATTTAGGGCTTTGTCTTGAATATCTGTTTATTTTTTCCAAAAAAATCTGATAAAATCGGTTGTTCCAATCTAGGATTCTATCGATTTTTTTTTAAATTTTGTTGCTATAATTCTTGAGAATTGTGGCACTAGTTTCACAGAGGAATTTGGATTTTTTTTTAAAGATGTTTCTTTTATCTTTAGTTTTCAGTTTTCTTTTTCTATAATTATATGAAGCTCTAGGAGTTCTGGTAAAATTTATTGCTTCACTCCCATTTTCTGACGATTCTTATTGAGGTAAGGGCTTGAGCTTGCATGATTGTTTTTGTATCAATTGATTGATAGATTAAGAAACTTCAGTAGTTTTTTTGTAAATTATCAATCAATTGGTGTCCTTAGAGTTTGATTTTGTCTTTCTATTGAGAAATTTGTTGTTAAATGTATATGGCTGTTATTGATTTCTCTGAGTGATATGAATACTGAATGTTGGAATTTCTTGTCTAGAGAATTTAAATTTTAGGATTTATGTTTTGGGATTGGGGTAAAGGTTAAGTTGTTAAGACGTTCGCAAGGTGAGGTTCTCTAGTATCTTAAATATTCATTCAGTTGCGCATATACTCTTCTGGGATTAGGGAGAAGAAAGAAGAGAAAGGAGAGAGCGTGTGTGTCGAAAGGTAAACAATAGAAAGGAATGAAATGCTCATCATTTTGAGTCAAATCAAAGAGTTTGTTTTCTTTTCTAATCATCTAGATACTTCTGTTTTCCTTTCTTTATGGCCACTATGTTAGTGCTTCATTTTTGCGCATCTTGCATATGTATTACTTATTTATTTTAAATTGTGAATGAAACAATCAAGTGAAGATTAAGTTTGTGTGCTAATATTATGTTACTCTGATGCTTTTTTCCCCTTGTTTTAATTTTGTAGAGACATACATAAATAGTGGATTATCCTAAAAGAGACTGCAATGGAATTTTGCCGGACTTGTGGGATGTTATTGCAGTATGAATTGCCGCATATGGACCGCCCCGCCAGATTCTTTTGTCCAACATGCCCATATGTATGTCACATAGATAGTAAGGTAAGTCATTATAAATCCTTGTTGAGGGTTTATTTACTGGCTATTCACAATGTCCATTGTGTCATTGCTAAGTTATCAACGCATGTAGCAGGTTAAAATAAAAAGAAAGCATCAGTTAGTTAAGAAAGAACTAGATCCTATCACGTATTAAGATATTTATTTTTCCTGTTGTGTTTCAGCATCACCTTGGAGGTGATCTACAAGTGGAAAAAAGGAGGGCTGACTGAGTACCTTGCCACTTGCCTTGGCCTTGGGAATTTGTAGGTGCAGGCCAACTGGATTTGTTCAAAGCTCTGGTCACTAAATTTTTTCCTGTAAAACGTTCACATGAACATTGGTGACGTGTTGTATAGATGTTTCCTTTTGTATCCATGATTTACTACCTAGGCAACTGATATTTTTGGGACCATTTTCCATTTGGAGATGTGATTTTCCTTTTTGTTGAGCAATATTTTATATTTTGGCTTATATTTGCCTTTGTATGTATTGAATTGTTCCAGATTTTTGATCCAACTGAGGCCAACAACATTTAAAGCAGGGATTTGAATCACTCTAGGCTTGATTAGGGTGCTTGTATGTACCAATGGTTCTAACTCTGTACCATGAATAAGATTTTTGATTATGGAGCTGAAATCTTGGTTTATATTCCAATATAGGATTCTCTGCATTTAGGTTCTTCTCCCTTTTCAAAGGAACAACATAATGACATGATACTATACCAATAAAGAATAGTGTTCAGCTAGGTTTTTGTTTGGTTTTTAACTCTTCTTTCCCAACCAATTCATTAGTATCATTAATAATTCCATTTAAGAATTCATGGTGTAATATGAATAAATATTTTATAGAAATGATAATATGATTATAATGGATAGAAACTAAAATTAACTTCTAACGAAATGAATGTTTTAAGAGTAGAAAAATATTTGCAACATATCAACAAACATATTAGAAAATATTTTCATTGATAAACCAAACATTGGAAAATTATGAAAAAAGGAATTTGGAAAATATTTTCACTTAATAACCATACACTGGAAAATTATGGAGAAAGAAGTGATTTTTCAGGAAAATGACTTCAATGGAAAATATTTTCCCTTGTCCCTAGGAAAATATTTTCCATTTTGATCCAACCAAACGGACCCTTAGTTACTTATAAGTTACATACACGCTGATTGAATAAAAATTTAATTAGTCATCTATCACTAATAGTCAAACTGATATGTATTGAACAAACTAAATAGCCTTTACAATTTACATGAGCAGTGGCAAGATGGCACGGAAAAGGATAAAAAAGAATCCAAATGAAAAGGAAGAAATATAAAAAGTGGGAACTATTGACCTTGCAGAACCAATCCCACCATTTATAATTAGAAAGAAAAAGAAGAAATCAACTTGAGAAGAAGAAATGGAGCAAGTGAAACTCAGTTAACAGCATTGTATAACTCTTGTAATTTATTTTTATAGATTTTTGTTAGCACAATATTTGTAAATTTTCAATTTCGATTTATACAAAATGTTATGTAGTGATAGGTAAGAATCCTTGTAGATATCATTGTAATCATCGTAGATTTTTGTTCAATTTGTAGATTTGTTTGAAGCATTGTATATATCCATTAGAATTGTTGTCCATAATGTTATAACTAGAGTATTCATTTGGTTTATTTTTATATGCATCACAGTTAATAAACTTAAGGATATTTGTTCAAAGATCAATTAAATGATAGAAGTATGCCAAAATTGATATTCCAACCACGTTTTTAAGGTTTTTAGTTTGGGGTTTGATAAAAACAGAAACGAGTGACACTATGATTGAGTGTAACAAATTTACTGATGGGCAATTACTACTTTTTGAGATTATAATATATTGACAACTAAAATTTTACCTAAAGCTACTATTTCCATAATAGTGGTATATGACTAGTTAAATTTGTGTTTAATCAACATGTATGTAACTTATAAATAACTAAATGTAACTAGTTTTCACCAATTTGTAAAACAAAAATTTTTATTTCCTAAAACATATCATAAAATGGACTAAACCGTTTGTAAAATGATAGCAACAAAAAGTCAATAAATACTAACATGGGGTACAACATCGGGATGTTACTAATTAGCAATAGAAATTTTGTTTTACCAATTCATAGAATCGAAGTTACTACTTTGGATATATTGTAAAACAAATTGAGCTAACAATAAAAAAAATTAACAACAAATACTACTTAAATACTAACTAGATGTACAATACTGATAAATAGAATCTAAAATTAGCAATTTAACTTTTTTTCCTCTAGTACATTGTAAAATAGATTGAACATGTGATAATGCATTAAGAACTAAATGTAAGTACATTCTAGTGAGTGTTATGAGTCTAGCATAATGAAACTATCTAATTATCCAATATAATTTCTTTGCTCCACCAGCATTGATTGAAATCCATTGATTTGTCAAAGAAGCTATCTTTGCCCTTCACATGCTACAAAATAAGGAGAAAAAGATATAATGTGTTAACAATTACATACACGGTATAGCTAATCAAACCCCAATTTGTATGCTTATATGAACTCTATGTAACCAGCAAACAATTATATGGTAAATTCATTCTTACATTATGTATATGTACGTGACAATGTGTAAGAGTTAACAACCAATTACAAATTTAAATAATAGACTAACTTTTTATAAATTTATGACCATGTAAGTATACATAACATATAGCACTACTCCGTACCTACAAACAACGTGTACACTTCACAAAAAAATACTAATAGCATTATACCAAAGTTTCTAAAATACATTCCAACTCAGGTGACTACTTTTTATTGCACTATATCTAATCTCACTGTTACAGATATACATAGTCAAGTAACAAACACCTAACATGATGTACATTTTTATAAACTGATTGTACCTCATAAATCACCCCGTGTAAGATACTCACAGACAAATTAGTATTACTCATACAAGTAAAATTATGCATCAATTGTAGAGAGATGCACAAGTTGATCAAATGGCTAATAACCATTCCAAAGTTATGCATACCATTGCACTACCTTTCATAGATATACACAGTCAAATAACTAACATCTGATATGATGTACATTTTTGTAAATTGATTGTATTGATAGATCATCCCATGTAATTTGCTTATAGACAAATTAGTATTAGTCATACAAATATAATTACACGCCCACTGTAGCCTGCAAAGAGATGCACAGGTGGATTAAAGCACCAATAATCATTCCAAATATATGCATACCATTGCACTATGCATGTGGTTGCGATATACATGTGGACAAATAACTGCAAATTAGCAATATCAATAAACAAAATCTAAAATTAGCAATTTAACCTTTCTTTCCCCTAGTACATTATAAAATAGATTGAACATGTGGTAATGCACTAAGAACTAAGTATAAATATATTCTAATGAGTGTTATGAGTTTGGCAAAATAAAAAAAAAACTATCTAATTATCCAATCTAACTTCTTTGCTCTACCACCTTTGATTGATATCCATTAATTTGTGAAAAGAAGCTATATTTATCCTTGGTATGCTGTAAAATAAATTGAACAAGATATAATGTATTAACAATTGCATGCAGGGTATAACATATTAGATCCCAATTTGTACGCTTATATCGATTCTATATAACCAGCGAACAACTATATAGTAAATTCATTGGGTTAATATCAGAAACCTCCCCTGAGGTTTCTTCTAATCACATCTAGTACCCCCCATATTTTTGAAATCACACTTAGCACCCCTGGCAATAGGATGTGACAGGTTGTCCTAATCAAAAGGTGAGAAATTACCCAAAAACCACCAACACCAGGCAAAGTTTTAAGCGGGGAAATGCTGGAAAAAAATAATGAATAAGAAAAATTATTGGAAACCAGAAAATAACAAAAATGCCATTGTTTTGGCGCACAATTTGCCTATAAACACCTTACACGGGGTGATTTATGAGGTACAATCAGTTTACAAATATGTACACTATGTTAGATCTTAGTTACTTGATTATGTATATCTATAAAAGGTAGTGTAATGGTACGCATAATTTGGAATTGTTATTTAGCCCTTTGATCAATTTATGCATCTACTATATTTATGCATCTCCCTATAGTAGATGTGTAATTTTGCTTGTATGAGTAGTCCTTGCTTATTTATGAGTACTTTACAAGGGTGATGTATGATGTACGATCAGTTTACAAAAATGTACATTATGTTAGATGTTAGTTACTTGACTGTGTATATCTATAAAAGGTAGTGCATGTATACGCATAAATTTCGAATGGTTATTTAGCCCTTTGATCAATTTGTGCATCTCCCTATAGTAGATATGTAATTTTACTTGTATGAGTAGTTCTTGCTTATCTGTGAGTACTTTACACAGGGTGATTTATGAGGTACAATCAGTTTACAAAAATATACATCACCTTAGGTGTTAGTTACTTGACTATGTATACATGTAAAAGGGACCAAATTTGTCCTGATAATCACAAAATATTAGCTAACTTGTGGGAGCTAGATAATTATATGCTCAAATTTGAAGTTGTTACATTGCAGGGTGCTCTAAGGAGAGGAAAGCCTGGTAGAGGTATAGCTAACACGGGATTGGCAGGGGCTGTGCTTTGGGTAACTAAGTTCAATCTGATCATCTGATCATGTACCAAAGTATATACGTTGCACATATTATTAACTTGTTTATCATGTCTTCTGTGATCTAGGATCAGGTACAAGGAAATGTGCCAGTGGTTGTTTCAAGTCAGGGGAGTAATCCAAGTTTTCGCCAACAAGATGCAGCTGTCAATGTGCAAGTTAATTTGCAAGCTAGCACAAGCACTTCTACTAAGAGGGTAAGCATTATAATGTCATACATTGCTGCTGCAAAATTCAGAACTAGTGCACTACTGGAGTAATTTAAAGTTTTGCAGCAAAAAAGTTTAAATTTGTTCTTTTCTGATGCAAAG